CAAATCCACACTCACATCCACACCCACCCGTTATATTTTGGTATCTATTCACAGATACCATCATCAGACGAAAAAACCATCAACATCAACTGTACATATATCTATATCAGAACTATAACAAACTAATATATTATCTGTAGAAGAAATGTATCAGTACATTTAAAAAGAAGTTAACTCATTGATTATATTTGAAAATCCAACAGCCAAATAAATTAACTTGAATGAGAAACGTCCATTTCATTGCTGTATATGTAGCATATTAAGAATAAATAAAGGGGTACGTTTCTTATTCAAGATTATTTTTTTGGTTTTATATATTTCGATATAATCAATGAGTTAACTTATTTTTTCTATGTGTACTATATTAGTTCGTTATAGTTCTGATATACAGGGTGTCCCAAAACTCCACTGAAAAAGTGAATTCGTATAACTCCCCTATTTATCAAACTTAATTGACCAATTTCTTTTTATAGGATAGGTATCTCTGTGAAGTTTTTATTTATACGGACAAACTTTACAAATAGTGTTTAAAGTGATCACCATTGACTAAAATACGAAAAATCACCCTTTGTTCTTTTTCAGAGACATATGTCACAGTTGGCATGGGAATTTAGTTGAGTTTGGAATGCATGTTAAAAGCATGACTCACACGATACTTACTGTTTGTTTACTACAGTATTGAAATTTTGTAATTTAGCGATCCTAAATTATTGGTCGAGCTTCTATGATTTATTTTGAATTATTTGAAAATATTTACATATAGAAAATTTTCATGTTTAACCATTTTTATTTCGTGAGTATTTCAATTTTATAAATTTTATTTATCTCCTTATAATTAATCGATTGATGTTCGTTGCTATAGAACATCCAATCAAGAAACACATTCTATGTCTGCTTGTTTTTAATTACATAAATTATATCTTTTTTTTTCATGTGAATTGCTTACAAAAAAATGACCATTTCCAATTCTAAACTACAATCTTACGTTGATAAACTTTCTCACAATAAGTCGATCGAATAGATAATCCAAAATCCATTTATAGTCCAATTATTACTCAATCAATTGAAAAATAAATCGGCAGCTATTCTAAATAGCATATATCATTCAATTTCAAGTTTTTAACAACCGATTCGCTAACACTAAGCATTTAACCAATCATTTGATTCCCTGTATCATGCGCATCGAAAAAAAAACTATTTTATAAAAACAAATAGCTCAAATACTCTATTTCGTTTTAACCAATGATTCAATGTCCCCAAGTCCCGTGCATCGATATAGAAACTTCATTACGAGGAAAATAATGAGTAAGATTTACTTTTACAAGAAAAAAATGAATAGAATGACTAATGGCTGTTTATCAACAAAATAGTAGCACGAAGATATTTTTTATTGTCTAAGAAGTAATAGAAAATTTAAATTTGATAAAAAACAAACAAGTTTTCTTGAATATGTATTAGGAAAATTTGTAAATAAACAAACTGAACTTAGCGATTCCAATCTCAACTAGATTCCAAAGTCAACTGCACCATATATACTATATAGTGTTTCTCTTTTAATGCTTGAGTTTCTTACGTTTTTTGTGGCGTTTATGTTGTGAGGTCTTGCGCTATTATGTACATATATGTGTTTGTTTGGACATGTCACTGCAAAAAGAAGCCTTATAATGCGAAGTCCGATGATGATGCAGCTCATGAGATCGATTCATCTCTTCTGGTTCACCAATCATCGTACGAAAAGTTAAAACGATCGTATGAACTTCGTGATCCTCAAACTTAACACTGTCAGACTTCTTTTTGCAGTGGCATTTGAAAACAAACATATATACATATTAGTGCAAGATCTCACAACATAAACACCACAAAAAACGTAAGAAACTCAAGCATTAAAGAAGAAACACTATATAGTATATTTTTCTGAAAAAGAACAAAGGGTGATTTTTCGTATTTTAGTCAATAGTGATCACTTTAAACACTCTTTGTACAGTTTGTCTGTATAAATAAAAACTTCACAGAGATATCTATCCGATAAAAAGAAATTGGTCGATTAAGTTTGATAAATAGTGGAGTTATACGAATTTACTTTTTTGGCGGACTTTTGGGACACCCTGTAGATATATATATATAGTTTCATGTTGGTGGTTCTCGTCTGATGATGGTGTCTGTGAATCGATACCAAAATATCACGTGTTACATTGCATTAAAAGCTTTAACGGTCTTTTATTTTTTCATTTTCTATCAATTCAAATGGACATGTACATTCATAGGCCTCATTTTATTTGTTATTTTGTTTTTCATTTGTATCGTTCGTCTTTCTTTTTTTCTTTGCGTTCTTCTTTTTCTTACTCCGTTCCTTCATTCTTACTCGTCTTCTTTTCTAGTCTTTCTTTTATCATATTTCTTCATCATACTATTCAGTATTATTTTGTAGTCTACTGCCATACCAGCGAAATGTTTAAGCATAATGCCCTAGGTTCTGACATTCTACGCTTCTATATTATATTTCCATATCTTTATGCAAATACTTGAGAGCGTAACTAAAAACAGTAATACTAAAAAAAAAAACGTTTTTTTTTCCATTTTACCTACACAAAATGCAAAGAAAGACAAAACGTGAGGACTAAAATTGAAAGAAAGCAATAAACGCAGTGACGAGTGGCTCCTCTCAAAATGCCTACCGAATAAAAATGTCATGGTCTATTGATTCACATCAACATAGGTGATAGGGAAAAAATCCACCGCTTTTATGTACAATAAATTCGATGTAAAACCAATAGCAAACAAAAAAACAATTCATACACTCAAGCGTCACTTACGATGTAAGTAAATTTGATTTTTCAATGCTTCAAGACTTATGCAGAATTATAATCGGTAACCGTAAATGGTCTGTCAGTGGACTCTAACTTTTCTCTACTAGTCCGTATGAGTATTTTTTTTTAGCTTTTACATGTTTTATTTTGACGTAAAGAACATTATTTTAAAGATGTCGAAGACTATTTGTTTTTATGGAAAAATGTACTAGACTATTCTATTTGATCGATATTCGTCCTAATTTATTTATAATATTTTATCAGATTAGTTTCATTACAAGTTATACTATCAAAACAACATTGAATAATTATTTAGTGTTGCACCTATCATATATTTACTTCCAGTTCGTTTAGTATTTACATGCTATATTTCGCATACATATCAAAGATAACAATGTGTACATGCTGCAGATGACAGAATAAATATATTACTTAGTGCAATTTAAAAGAAGTGTCATCATTATCTTTTTACTGCATAGAAAGTTTGAAGAAATTTCTCTTTTTTATGTAGTGATAGAGAAAACGACACAGGTATCGATCTTTAGCTGAGTCTGGGTATCCAGTTCATTCATACAGGCATCTTCTACATCTCCGCAATAAAGTTCTAATAGTTACGAACTGTTTAACAACTTCTTTAAGACGACAGTTATGTATGATTTATTCTTGAAGGTATGGATGTGAGTGTGACTTTGGTCATCTACACCCATATCCGAACACATGAATAATTATGAATGACTTCTTATATATTGGGGTGTCATCAAAGTATGATGATAAACTATCAAATCAGCAATAAATTTAACTGTAAGATTTTAGTTGACTTCTATCTAATTTGTCGAAGAAGGCAAATTTACTATATCTGAACCGATAAGTTAAAGTATTTACTTTTTGCTTAGCCTAGTAAAAGAAAGATAAAATGCCACCGTTACTAGCGACAGACTTTTGTTTCATTCATTTTTTTTTAATGTAGAATAATACAATTCAGTGAAAACAGCGAAATAGAATTTTTCTTAACAAAACAATGTTGCTTCTTAGCAGAATCTCAATACTTGCATAGGAATAGAAATCAAGTTTTTTTTAATGAAATCTAGTTTTTTTGAAGATATGAGTAGAACTGATCAGAGAATATGAAAAACTGAGCGAATGTGATTGGATGTGAATACGGGCAAGAGAAATACGTTCATAAAAATCCATATTCATATGTATGTCGACACCTACAAAATAATTTTAAAATATAGGTTGACCAGCAGCTATATTTCGTATAATTTATGCTACTGGAGAAGTAGAGAATCATACAAAATTACGATTAAGATCTTCTTAGAGGGTGAGGGATTTTGGATTCTTGTTCTCCTTCTGGCTCATAAAAAGGATACTAAATTATTGTATCTTATTCATAGTTGATTAGATTCATCGATCAACAAAAAAATATATATGAATAACGCCACAATTGATGAACTGTTCACAACACTTGATGATGCGATTATCAATAATGGAGAAAATGTACGGCAGTTATTTGATCAACTGGAATCTTTAATCGGAGAAAAAAATAATACTTATCGTGAGCTCTTGAACTTAAAAAAAAATTGTTATTTTCAAGCTGTTCAAAATTCGAATGCATGGGACATGGAAGAAAACATCGTAAGCAGGTATATCACAAAATGGGAACAACAAATGAATAATCCAGAAACACGACTGACAGAATCAGCAGTTGTTGTTGCAAACGTTCAGACAGACGCCTCAATACTAAACAATATTAAGACTTATTTACCCATGATAAAATCGTTACTCGGCGACACCCCACAAATAAGTTATAGCGCTGAATTAGAGACAAAAATTAAGAAATGTTCCGAATCATCTGTGAACTCATTGGATGACTACATAAAAAGAAATTTGGAAATTTGGAAAATAATGGCCAGTTTGAATTCTCTTCTAACTCAAATAGAAGTGAGCTTCGAAGAAACGGTAGATCAGACCAAGATGAAACTTTTTTCGTTTCTAAGTGATCTTTGCTATTACTTGATATATTTACAATATCAGCGTAAGGTAGATTTTGTAGAGTTTCTTATTTCCAACAAGTCAAAGCTTCGTTCTATTTTATTTGCTAATATTCCGTTAAGAGAAGATCGAATTCAATCACATGCCAAAAAACTATCCGTTTTATTTCAACCCGATAAATCTGAATCGAAACGAAACAGCATGTTTAGAGAAATTTGTCAATTAATAGCCGGCGATTTAGATAATCAATTGAATACGTTGTCTAATTATCAGACAAATCGAGCTAGTTTAATTGAGCAGTATAAGACAAGTGCAAAGAAATACTGGAATATTGCTATTGAATATAAATATGCAAGAAAACATGAGTGGAATTATGTGAAACGAGAAAAACGGGAAGCTTTATCGCGTTTAACCGATGAAGAATTAGAAAATTATCAGCAATATTATGCAGTTAGTGCGTATGAATATGACCGAGCTGCAGCAAGAGAACTCGAAGCAGCAGGCAACAAAGAAAAACTAGCCGAGCAAGTTGACTTGAAAAAGTGGATGGCTCTTACGCTATACAACGCCGGTAATAGTCTATCCTTCGAAGCGCAAATTTATGCTCTTGCTGGGATTTATTTGTTAGTAACCAATGATAAGGATAATCGTTGTAAAGATGACTTTGAGGCATTAGAAAAGCTTCTGCGGAAAATCCGTCGTTCAGAAACACTATTGTCCACAGCTTCAAATGAGAGAGTCAACAATGTAAAAGATAAATCAGTATTGACTAAAGCTATAATGGCTTACAGACAAGGTTCTATCACATTAAAACAATTTCAAAGTGATCTTTTGTCGGAATTACGATTTACTATTCTCAACAAAAATTCTTTCCGAGATAGAAAAAAAACAGAACTAGGCTTGAGTTCGAGCAGTATACCCAGTGGTGTTGATATTGGTATTTCATATTTAATTGGTGATGTTTTATTGGGAAATAAATTTCAGGACGCAAATCAATCTAATCTACAACACTCTAAAATCGGTGAACTTATAACAACAATTATAAACAATGCGCTACACCATTACAACAAAGGGCAGTACAGTGAATTTCTTTATACCTTAACCACTCACTATGCTAAACCAAAATTGTTAGTAGGGATTAAACAAATAAAACAAGGTAATAGTTGTAAAATTTTGCTTGACATCCGACCTACTGTGATTGTGGAAGAACTTTTGAGCTACGATTTTTCACCCGAAGGAGTTGCCAATTTTCTCGTTTTGCTTGGCGAAGTTTTGCTCAGTGAACCTGATTTAAAACCGAAAAAAGAGCTCACTGGCGATATACGTCTGGAGTTACCAAATTATCCTGATTTCATATATTTTGCAACAATATTATTTGAGGAAGTTTTGAAAAATACACAGCTGACAGAACGAGCCAAAAATATTGACAGTAAGATTGAATCGAGAATCTCATTTGTAGAAACAAGATGCATAGAACGTCTTGAAAAAAGCTTAGTAGATTGTACTTATTCTATGCCAAATGAGTACACAACAGAGAGATTAATTGTTTCTGCTAGTGTTCGTCTAGAAGCAGTAAAACTTGTTACAAAACTTAATTACGCCATTGCACAAATGATTGTCGGAGACACAGAGAGTTTACAGAAAAGTGTCCAGATGATTAAAAATGTCAAAGAAGAATTGATGAAAGATCTTACGGAAGAAAAAATGTTTGTCGTAAGCGAAATTCGTCTTCAAGCGTTGACAGACATTTTCACTACGTTTGGTTATCCTGATGATGTAAAATATGCTAGGAAAAAACTAGTTTTTGGTAGTAAAAAAATCACTGGTCCAAGAAGTGATCTATTTATAAAAAATATCAATAAAGTTTTAAAAGATGATCAGACAGTTTTACAGTGTAAACTACCGATTTTATTTGATGATAATGAAATTGACGAGTTTGAATTGTTGGATAAAGTTTTAAATCAAGTTCTGAAATTGAATAAAACGCAATTTTTGAAAGATGTGTGTTACTATTATCAAAATTATGCTGACCCATTAACATCCTTAATAAAAAAGATGATAAGAAAAGAAAAGTTTTCCAATATCAATGAATGGATGACATCGTTTTTACAACAAATAAAATCATTGAATTTTCACTATTTACCGATTTTATCTCTGTTGCATAATCTAATTTTTATACCATGTACTGTAAAAAGCCATCAAGAGCATAAATTTGTATTTGTTCCAATTAAAGAAGTGATTGATGTTTCTAAACAACAGGAAAAAGTTTCTGTATATATTATAACGGAAGAAAAGAACAGCCCAGAAGATGTTAGACCAGTAAAAGGTGCTTTTGTGCTCAGTGAGATTTCATTGAATTATATATATAATCAGTTAGATTCGGCTACAGATAAAATAACTCAAAGTCATTTGGTAAATTTAATTGCGCTTCATTATCAGCGACAAGCTGAAAAAATTGATAAAACCAACCATATAGAAGCATTAAGCATATGGGTTACAGCGCAGAAATATTACAGTCACTCGTTAACACTCATTCCATATAATTTAAAAGCAACGCTCGGCTATGCTACATGCTTAGTAAAGTTAGGTAAATATCACTTAGCTGAGAAGGTTTTGGAGAAAAAAGTTGAAAAAAAAACATATTTGTGTGATCCACCAGAAAAATGGCTTCTCTTAGGTATTGTAAAACGCAAATTGCAAAACTATGATCAGGCTAAGAATGCTGTTGAAACAGCACTCAGATTGAAAGAGAACTATGTCGAAGCAAAAAATGAATTGAACTTGATATTGAAATTACGACAAGAAACAGCTGCACAACGAATCAAATTATACAACAAAATGAGTTTGATTCATACCGAACCTAAATCCCATCAATACAATATTCTTTCTATTGACGGTGGTGGCATTAGAGGATTAATACCGGCCATCTGGATTAGTGAGTTAGAACGAAGAACTCAATTGAGCAGCTCCTCTATGTTTCACATGATGGCTGGAACATCAACTGGAGGGATCCTAGCTGCTGGTCTTTCGTTACCAGATAAACCTGGTATCATAAAACCGCGTTATAAAGCTGTGGATTTTGTTCAATTGTACACAGTCCATTCTAAAAGAATATTTTCTTGTTCGTCAGTCTTAGAGAAGATTTTAAAATTAGGGATTAAATATACTGATGAGGGACGAAAGGCCTTGTTCGAGCAATATTTTGGAGATACTCAGTTATCTCAAACACTGACTGATCTTGTCATAACGGCGACTACCTTTCGCAGTTGTACTACAGAGCTATTTCAACGAAGTGAGGCTATTAATGATTACAGGAAAAATTATAAACTTGTTGATGTTCTGATGTGTACAACAGCTGCACCAATGTATTTTCCATCTTATCGCTTGCATGATACTGTTTTTGTCGACGGTGGAGTTCAAGCTAATAATCCAGCAATGTGTGCCTATATTGAGGCATGTAAGAAAAATGTCAAACGTGAGGATATTTTTATTCTATCTCTTGGTACAGGCGATTATGTACCAGATCCATTGAATCCGAATGCTAAGCGACATCTTTTATTTTGGTTAACTAATAAGCGTGATGCTTTGAGTGTCTATTTGAATGGTCCAGAACGTAATATTGATTATCAATTAAGTAATATATTAGGTAGTGATCATTATAACCGATGGCAGATTTGGCTTGAAAAACCAATTTCACTTGACGATATAAGCAAAGAAAGTTTAGACTATCTAATAGAGCTTGCTCGTGCTCATTTTGACGAAATGGATGCTTCTGATAGTAATAATCGATTAGGAAAACTTATCGACCGATTTAAAGAATAACAAACTGAATCAGTGCGATCTTTTAGTGTTCATGATTCTTCATTATCAAAATAGTCGACATTTTTTTTTGGCGTGTGAGACATTCTTAAACATACACAACAGAAAAGTAAATGGAAGGATGAAGCTTAGAAATTCATTGTAGTACTACTAAACTCAAAATGTTACTTTTTATTACTTAACTTACATTTTTCTTTTTCTGTTTTTTTTCGCGTATTGCTTCTAACCACTTACGTAGTTTTCTGTAGTTTTTATTTTCTATTTTATCTTCTTTTGCTCTATAATGGAAATTACTTTTAGCTTTTTTTTCAATTTCGATCAATTTTGAATGAAGATGAACTGATGATATCGTTTTCTCTGTTGATACTTGTGCTTTTCGCATAAGATCTTTATTGGTAACAGAAAAACTCTGGAGAGACTTTCTCTTCTTAATATCATAAAAAGTCTTGATGTGTTACTGTTTATGCAGATGACTGGGTGAATTTCTAGGACTCCATATGAACAGTTTGCACATGGGTTAGAAAGCATCATGGAAGTTTTGGGGTGTGGGTGTGTGGATGTGGATGTGGTTGTGGGTGTGGGTGTGTGGGTGTGAGTATGGGTGTGGTTGTGGGTGTGGGTGTGGGTACATGTTGGTGGGCGTGGGTGATGGTGATGGCACCGGGTCTGCGCTGGCATCTCTACATACACACACATGCCCACACCCACAACCTGAAAAGATTTTGAATTAATCTTTGACTTATTACTAGTAAAAATAGAGAACAATCCTCGTCGTTGATTTTCATTACATTTAAATAATCAATCTTAAGTAATGGTTAAAAAATTGATCAATTTAATTGAATTGGATAACTGGCTTGATAATTATTCGATAGAATTAATTCATAGTATTTTATATCTATGATAATTATATAAAGTTTTATTAGAATTGTTAGTTGATATTATAAATATGAGTACAATAGAGTTAAAATTTCAAAAAAGTCAAATTAATCTTTCAAATCGTTTAGATAAATAATCAACGTAGAAAATTAACCGGATTAGAAGACATTGACGGAAATGGAAATCGAGATAGAAATGGTATCTTAGATTGATCCTGTTGTTGAGCGGCAGATGAATCGTGACGTGCAGTTGTTGACTCTCCACCAGAAGTCGATGAAGCCGTTGCATTGCCACCCCTTGAAGTTCCGAGAAGAGGAGTATCTGAATCCACTTCTTTCAGCTGAATAATAAAAAGATCATTGCCCGAATCAAGACATGAGACAACTTGAAATTTTCGAGCGGCAATAAACAACACCTCATCTTCTGTTGGAAAGAATGAATGTTGTTGAATATCTTTTCCAGAACTACAATCAATATTAAATAAAGTTCTTGTGCCTCTTTTCCCCAAAAATTGTTCCGATTGAAGAACATGGATTGATCTTGTGCAGGATGAAAATGCCGGTCAAGCAAATCTTTTTCCTTGGGGATATTGAGCCCTTAAATCCCGTTTTACACCGCGATAAATCGTTTTAGATATTGTCGGTAATTTTTCCAATGATGCAACAAATAATTTGATATAAAGTTCCCATGGTTTTATTTTTTCTGAATCTTCGGCTCGTAAAGTATTGTTAAGAATAACATCGAAGGAATTTTCTCTTGGTCCCCATTCCATTGAATAAAGCATAATTGAAGCTGATTCATCTGGTGTTAAACCATCCTTTGGTGTATCACATTTTTGTTTGGCTTCAGCAACCATTTCTTTCACATTGGGAACAATTGAAACAAGTGAATCGACAGCTGACTCAAATGAAACAGTTTGCACAGCTTCGAATTCTTCAATTGGTGTCCACATATTTAATGATGGATCAAAATATTCAATAAATCGAAGGGCATGTTGTGGGATGACGCTTCTTAAGAAATTTTCAAACGTTGCGAGATCAAACACTTCGAGTTGAAACATTTCGAAAAAGTCGTGCACTTGCTAAAGAATTGTGTGATTCCTACAAAAATCTCAAGAAAAATATAAATTAATATTCACTTTCTATTATAGATGGATATAATTCTAAAGAATAATTTTCAAAAACAAAACGAAATGACATTATACAATGCTTTTCTGTTCAAATAAACTAAATTAAGATGAAATATGATATCGAAATGATCGTTTGCTTTAGATTCTAAAACATATTTTTATTACTAATGTAAGATTGGTTTGATCGTTTATATTCAATACTAACCTTTATTTGTGATTAAGAAGAGAAAAAGTAAATAATAACTACCTACGCTTCATTATTTATACCCGTTTTATTTAGTCGACGACAAAAATTTCGCCCGCTGACTATATCGTTTATTTTACGCTTTATAAGGACATTAAAAAAAGATAATATTATTATCACATATGCTGTTCTTAGATACTTCATTACTCATATTCAGTTTTTTTATTTCTTCAAGTTCTTTGTTTCAAATTGATTAACTACTAAAACCATTAAAAAATTAGTCGATGAAAACAGTTTCGTCCGTGTTGAGATGAATATTTTATTTTATTTCAATGAACAAAATATAGTACAATATGTATATAGAGAGAGAGCAATTATAGACATTTAATACATTCGTAGCGTCGTGTTAGTTGCTTGTTTCTTCTTTGGGTAAAGTAGAGACGCGTGAAATGCACCCTTGGATGAGTTTTTGTGAAATGAGATGGCATGCTTGATCAACTGCTGCTTCCAGCTCCGCTTGACTTTTTGGATGTGCTGTTTTGACTGTTTCTTTGAGTGAGTGCCAAACATTTTCAATTGCATTGAATTCAGGCGAATGAGGTGGCCAATCTAATAATTTGAGTCCATGATCATTGAACCATCGGCGAACTGGTTTTGCCCAGTGTGATCTTAATTTATCTTGAGCCACCGCATACCGACGATATTTATGTACATGTGGACCAAGATGAGAAGCTAATAAGTGTTGAAATAAGGTTTGATTGACATAGCCATCATATCTTGCGAACGTTTTGCCATTCCACCAAACTGCACCCCATAAATTGACATAAGCACGAAGGGACGAGATTTCATGTGTAGGCGTTGGTTGCCCACGTTTCACCCAAATGATTTTACCTGTGTTACGCAATTGGACCTGTGTCTCGTCAATAAAAAGCCATTTTTTGAGTTCACTATTCTGATGTTCTATTGCAAATAAATGACGTTTTTCAACTTGAGCTTGTGTTGATTTGACTTTGGTTTTTTGTTTTCGTGGATAAAATCCAAGAGCTCGCCGATAGCGTTGCAATGTACGTTCACTAACTCGAATGTCGAACTTGTTAAAGATATAGTTTGAAAGTTGATTAGAAGTTGCAGTTGGATGTTTTGAGATGTACTTGTCGAGTGAACGTTGTTGTCCGTCAGTAAGAGAATGTGGTCGACCTGGTCTTTCCCGTTCAGTCAATAATCCTGTTTCATTGAAGCGAGCGACAGCACAAGAAACGGTTCGACGATCACAATCCAGTTGATGTGCTATTGTACTGAATGTCTTGTTTGGTTTTTGTGCTTCTTTCACTGCAAATAAACATTATTCACGTGTCAAATTTCGCATTTTTTAATGATTTTTAGTATTTAATCAATTTGAAACAAAGAACTTAAAGAAATAAAAAAGCTGAATATGAGTAATGAAGTATCTAAGAACAGTATATGTGATAATAATATTATCTTTTTTTAATGTCCTTATAAAGCGTAAAATAAACAATATAGTCAGCGGGCAAAATTTTTGTCGTCGACTAATTAAATGCGGTGTTACCATTCAACTGATAGGAATTTTTGATCGGTTAAACTGGTAGAAGTATTTGTGCAGAATGATGTCAAATAATGAAGATAGATCCACAGAAAGAAAAATTAGTAACAACAAAAGAGAAAAATGAAATTGTAGAGAAAAATGATGACGTAATATATATACAGTTCCATATAACGAAACTTGTGTTTTTAGATAATTTTTTTGTCATTGATCATCATCTAATATTTATTATCTGTAATTTAAAGGCAAATGGATGGAAGACCATTCAACAAATCATTGGGCTGATGGGCTTGCATCCGTTATTTTTTCCATTAATACACGTACAACATTTACGACAAAAAAAAACACATATCAATTGATCTTTGGATAAGATACACGAGCTAATATTCACTATTGGGAATCTCTTCATGATACAGCTGTAATCGAGACTGTTGTAGCAAATGATCTAATAATAGACAAAATTACACCATCTGATAAAGACATAATTGATGAACAATTGCATTGTCCAGTTATGTCTAAAATTGCACACACTAAATCAGGTTAGATAGCATTCATAAACTAACATTAATTTTTCTTTAACTTATTACTTATCATCAGAGATCTCCTCAAGTGAGATAAATACAACAGACAACACTTTGGAAAAAACAAAAATGAATTCATCTGACTCAAAATTGAAAACTATAGATGATAGATTTGAATTCGAATTGTTGAATAAGACAAAAAAAATCTGATATGTATGTATATCTAGTCGTCATGAATCACATCGTGCTCCTGCTCGTGTCAACTATGTCAAATCACAATCTAAACGACAAAAACTATATGATAAACATATACGAAAGATTGCAGACTCCTATAAAAGTGGTGATCTTGTTGGTGTCTCAGTTAACAAAGTCGATCGCACGAACTGCGATCCTAAAGTTATGCCATGCCTTATCGAAAGACGTTCGGACAATAAAAATACTCTAACATTTCATCTTATTAGTCCTTATGGTCGATTCTCAACACCATTTTCCGTACATCAATTAACATTTATGTCAGGTATAAAACCAACAGAATTACAAAATATAAATTTTGATAACATCCCAACGATATCATTAGTACAAGCGTCGAAACTATTTGCTAGAGGCAATCCAGCTGCGACGTGTGATTGTAAAACTAGATGCCTAACAAAAATCTGTCCGTGTAGGCGTGCATCAATATCTTGTTCTACTAAATGCCATGCTAAACTTGGCAAATGTATGAATACTGAATAATAAATACATTTTATTTATTTTGTGAGAAAATTTCAAAAAATTAATGATGAATAAATTTTGAAATTGTTTTAAATCATGGGTTGCCACACCCAAGGTTTTTCTTTACATGGAATTCGATTACAACGTACAGAAAATTGTTTTTCCTCTAAGTTTATATAAACAGTACTGTCGTTAAAATAATCTTCGTGCAGATCTTTACAAATGTTCATATTTCGTATATTACATAGCACTAATTTCCCATATTTTCCTGTGTTCACTGAATGAATTACTCCAGATGATCCTATGGTTTTTAGATATGTTTTTGTCCAAAGTTCAGCACGAAGTTCATGATCACTTCTAGCTAGAATTCCTTTTTTATATCCAGTAATATGTTTCTTATTTGTATTTAGTTGATTTTCAATGTATTGTTTTTTTTCTTTCCTAACATTGAACCCAACTGACTTCGCCCATTTATACAAATCATCAATATCTATATAATAACTATTATCTCCTGATGGTTCAGTTATCAACGATCTTTGAAGTATTTCTTCCATTGAATGTATACTTGATTCCTTGTGATGATCAGATTCTTAAAGAAAGAAAAACGTTTTTTCCACAATTTAGCATGTTCTTAACAGTTATTTGTTATCACCTGCAAGCAAATCAGATTGAAATTTTTCTTCTAACATTGTACTTCTTAGTAATGGTCTATTTTCGCCTATCTTTGTACACATAAAAATACGAAAATCTTGTTCAATTCCGTATACTTTCATATCAATACATGGAATGAGATATCCATTTTTATCATACACAAGTAAATTGCAAACATCGCTTACATTGAGTTCTACGTGTTTTATTTTACAACTAATACAAGCAAACCATTCTGACCGAAAACAATTGAATGCATCCATGATTTCGGATAAACTAGATTCATTATTTATATGTTTACCATTATACTTTCTGTTGTAAGGACATTCATGCTTTATACTAACGATCAATATGATACGGAATATTTCTTAGATAAATAAATATAACGAATGAGTACTGGAAAAACGGATTTTTTTATCACTGAGAATTAAATGATAACTTTCTTTTTCAGATGACGATGATGTTAATACAAGCATATTATGTATAGATATACTGTTGTTGTTCGAGATTGTGTTTATCACACTGATAAATAACTTTTGAATAGATAATAACGCTTTATTAACATCTACTATCACGTTCTGATTTGTTCGATAATATTCGTAATCTAGATAAAATTTTACAGCATCTCCACGACTAATGTGTTCATAAAAGCATCGTTTTTCAATGGGTATCATTTGCATTAATTGGGATCATTTTTCGAAACAAATACATGTATATTGTCGTCTTTTATCATCTAATTCAATTGATATTCTATACTCATTATGTGCCATACGACGTTTCGGACAAAATATTATTTTCCAATGAACTTCATTTTCTGGTAAAACCATCTGAATATCAACATTTTTGTACGGCATTATTAATCAAAAAAAAATGGTTAGGGCTTTTTATTTTACAAATAAGATATTATCTGTTGGTTACCGCACAAAAGAAAATATTAATATTACGTAACTAATACTCTTATTTTCATTTATTAATCTAAATTTTGTATTTGTATCAAAATAAACAGTATCGACAACCTCTCAAATATGGAAGCTTACAAATACAAAAGGCGAAAATATGATATCGAAGATGTCAACGAATTACTTGAAAAAAATATTGAACTTGCTTCCCATATTCATGTTGAAGTTGATAAATGTATTCATCCAATTGTATTACAGTGGCTACATAACTATGATCATTTGACAAGTGGACAACCACTGAGCCTTTACTATGCTCTTATGGTCACTATTGCTCATCTTTCAATGGAAAGTACAGTAATGCAGTGGAACCGTATAGCCAGATTTCTTAATTTATATTCTATTATTTTGGGATATTCTGGTAGGTTTTTTTTGTTAATTCTACCAAGTCTTATACAACTATTTAACAGGTGTTACAAATAGTGGTTCAGTTCGAGAATGTCGAGAAGCTTTGGAAGAGCTCTACGAATTTCTTCTTATAAATAACATTGGCAATCCAAATGCTATTCATTCGATTCTTGATAAATTCACGGAAGCTGGTTTCATAGATCAGGTAAGAATTAGAAAGAAAATAATATATTATTAACTAATACTCCTTCATTGTATTGTATGATGAACAATATAGTTTTCATAGCACATATCCAACACTAGTTCTTCAAATAAAAAAAACCTAGAAAAATCTTTCTATAATTTTAAAACACAAAACAGTATTGTTCAAAACAGCAAATAAACGAAACATACAGAAGAGATTTTCTATGAGATGTTTGACTTTGAGAATAAAATATAACCTCTTATGTTAAAGTATTAAATGTTTTTTTTCTCTCTCTCTAAAAGCTTAAGGAATCAACTAATGTTATCATCATTCAAGAAGAAATTGATGTTGCTTTAAAACAAATGAGTTTTTTTTCTAACAATGCACCCGATTCAAGCAGACAAATGTTCTGTCAGTTATTTGACGGATTGACTATGAGAAAAAAAAAACCAAAGAATATCGACAACGAATACGAAATGCTCGAATGACCATATGTGTAACAAGTACAGGCGTTTTATTACCACCAATTTTACAGGATTTTTTGAAGCACCTAATGACTGATGGGGCTGTTGTTAGATGTTTATTTTTGGTACTATCCTATCAACAGTATCTCCGTGAACATCATCTTGACCCAAATCTGAATTTGCCAAGTATTGCTCAAATGTTAATGGCTGTTGTAATCCTTGGAAGACGACAATACATATACACCGATGAAACACAATTGATACTTGATAATTATATTGAAGGAATATCACAACAAGCATCTGAAGCTGATTCATCTCGAATAACATCTTTTCTAGCCAAGTAAGCTTCTCAAATTACTCGAATAACTGCATTAACACAAATCATCGATTTATTACCACTAATTATGGAAAATATTGATGTGTAAGTATTTCTACATTGTAATTTTGTTAATATGATATTTTAATTTGATAGTACACGTGCACCTAATGATACAATCGGGTTAAGCATTCGGCTTTTTAATGAAATCGATATTATCATTCGACGATTATTCGGACCTCAAATAACAATCAATAAAGCATCTACAAACCAAGCAATATACTTTCATGGATATGTTCTCGAACAAACCTTGAAAATATTTGACGTAACCTTATTAGAAACAATTCGTCCGAAAATAAACCATATGACAACATCAGAAATTAAACAATTATTAATGCGACAAATTCTAATGTTACCGAAAATCATAATTACAAAAGAAAATTTATATTCAAATAACGGTATACAAATTACCCTATCTAATTACTTTAGATTTGTTCTATAACAAGAATGTTTCTTTCCGGCACATCTTCAGTTTCTAATCAAAACCTTTCATTTTTAAAACTTAAGAACATAATACAACATCATGATTTCTCATTTTAAAATCGAAGCACTGACAATTTTAGACCAATCAGTTTGTCTTATGAACTTTTTTATCTCTATTGCGATAAAGATATTCAAAATTATTACTGAATTTTTCTAATATCTCGCACTCTTAACACAAAGAAACTTTTGATAGGTCGTTGACTATCATATGTAAATTTTCAGACATCCTGTTAACAGAGAATCAATCTTTCATCTATACTGCAAATAAATTTGCTTCATTTAAAATCATTATACATATATTATTAATCCCTTTTCTTCTTAGAGAATAAAAAAATTGATCGAACCATTGGAACACAGATCTTCGAAACATTAGTTAATGAAGGTCTCTTATACAAAGATTATTTCGTTTTGAGTAATACCTCTCGACCAATTGAATGTTACGCCAACGTATTACCTGTCAATCACACTGATCATGAAATTATCACAAATAAACTCCAATCGTACAACATTCAAATATCTGATTACCTTGATGTTTCACGGTCAATTGGAATTCAAACACCTACCAAATTAAGTTTAACTGGCAAACAACTGTTCTCAAAAAATTCGTATTCCAGAATTTGTAATATGTCTATTTCCACTTCACAATCTTCAATGAACATTCGTTCAATAGAATCAATCTCGTCAAATAATAGCTTTTCTCTTGTACCTCAAATAACAATCCAAACAGATTCAAACAATCAATTTCAAGAACGCTCATTATCATCTTATTCGGTAAGTTTGATTGAAACAGGTCTCGATTAAATAACTATACCTTCATAAATGAACAGCAAACTATCTAAATTTTTGACTAAAACGAGTCAAACTATTTCCCTATCCAATCATGGTTAATACCAGACTCGTTGAATAATCAGAAAGGCACAAAAAACACCAAGAAAGAGATTTCTGGAAGCTGTTGAAAAACCTAAACAAGTCTTATTGGGAAAATTTCTACGGATGTCTCATTTTTCTTCCTATATTGTTCAATAATCTGTTATGTATGTTTTCGTACTATAGTCGCTTAGAATTTCTAAGCATAAGACGCACAAACTATTATTGTTATGTAAAAAAAAAAATAATAATAATAATAATAATAATCACTTTATGATTTAGACTACTCAACGAAATAGACATATTCGTCGTAACGTCATTATAAGACACAATACAACAATTAACAGTACGCTTTTGAAATCAAATATCTAATTTCTGCAACATTTATTTTCTTCCAGATTCATTTGTACAGTATTCCGATATGGCCGATCAAAATGACATTATTACAACAAACGAACTACTGACATAAACGACACAATCAGCATATAGACTCAAATATTGATGTCTCTATTTTTTATCATCAATACAAATGTAGAGAATAATTCTTTCACTTTTCATTATTCATCGATTCTTTTGTTTATCTTTTAGATTTTCTTTTTTTTTTTTGGTCGGGGTGCTTGATAATTGTTGATGAGACGATAAATGTATCAATTGATGTAGAATCGGAAAAGAAAGTAAAATTCGTATAATAATTTCTACGCTAAAGCATTGTTTGTAGTAAAAGTCCAATTCTGATTATCAAATGTCTTTTTGTAATAACAGAGATACAGTAAAGAAAGCATATCTATAATGTTTGATGATTTATTAATAATAGTAAATTTCGTCTATATTCATTCTGAAGAATATCCTCATCTGTGTAATTAAGTAATAATCTTATATCTTATTGAAATAATTAACAAAAATAACTGCATATGAAACAAAAATGGAATTCAACTAGAAAGTTGAAATGGTTTTATCTATTAGTTTAGAAATGGAATTCAGATTTGTGACCATCATCACAATAGTTATGAACTTAAACAAAAGAATGATGTAATATACAATATTTATTATCATACAAATAAAATTATTAAGTACAGGAGATGGATAAGATTATTACATTTCTTATTTACATGAATAAAAGAATATCTGATTTCATTCCACATTTAAGACAAATCAAATTATGAGGATGTGCATTGAAATAACACTCTTCATGTTCTATGTGTTGACAAGAGTATTGAACTATACCATCGTTTTTATCATGATAAACAGGTAAGTGACATTGTTCACAAAGAGTAGACTCAGCCATTATGTTGATTTTATTTGAAAGGGACTTTGAGGTTAATGAAGAAGATAGAACTGTTTTCACAACAAAGTTAATCAAATGATGATGTAGATTAATTATGATGTGTATCAAATGGCAGCAAAAAAAGAAATATTTGTACAGATTAATAGTGTATTTCAATTTTGACAGATTATGAATGTTACGCTTATTTATTGTATAGAAAATAACTTCTTTTTTTCTCTCGAATAATTTTTTTCTTGATATAAGAAATGAGCAGATAAAGAAATGATTCAATATATCAGGCTTAGATTCTAAGAACATATACAACGTACAGCTGTAAAGTATGTACCGACAAGCATTATTTCTATTGTGACTACTACTTTAATAAGCACTTTGCAGCGACACAGAAACAACGATACTCATAAACTAAATAATCTTCGTTGATTGTTTTTCTTTTTTTGGCGCACATTTAAATTTTGAAAAAAAATCAATAGTTAACTGATATCACATATCATGCATCATATATTGTCGTAAACAACAATTCATCACACTGTTGTAATACAATGTCACATTCAACTAAAGGAAATAAATACTTAGGTAAGTGAAAATAAAATGTTTCACAAAAAAACTGATTTATTACTCATTAGTATCAGTCTCATCGTCTGAATCTGACACTTCTAATCATGATGATCGGTACACGTCAATTGAAAAAATTTCAACGGGTAACATTATTGATTGAAATAGTTTTTTTCTTATTTTATCGGAAAAAGATTATCTATCTTCCAATGTCTCAAAACACATACGAAAATGTGTGCGTGTATCTGTTGATACTGAAGTAGTCGAAGATGATCAAATATCTGTACAATCAGATAATTCATCTGAGATAACAAATATCGCAATACCAAATGCTATTTCAAACCATTCAATTGAAGTAAATAATGGTATGTCTCACAGTTTAAAAACCATGTCGTGTAATTCTGTTTACAAAGACGATGAAGATAATGAATGACAGTCGTATGCGATTAATGAACATGACTCAAATCTCAACAAACCTCTATAGTTGAATACCAATAATCAACAAACATCAAATATTAAAACAGGAAATAATATTTCATTCCAAGAGCATAGTAATAATGGTAGGCCATGGTATAGTGGGATTGATGATTAATTTAAAAAAAAAATGATATCAATCAATAATACGATAAACTTCACTTTCTAATTAAGAATCAATATCAACGACGTTGGATACAACTATTCATTTGGACGATGATTTATCACCATCATATACTCAAAGCAATTAGCTATGTTCCGCATGTGATTCTGTGTCTCTCTTATAATAGCATCTATCATCGCATATTTCTCACCGAGGAACGGTTCATTTCAACATATTGTTGATCTCAATGAAAATACAATCAAGTAATAAAAAAAAAAACTTTGATAATTACTCTGATAATCGCTAATTAGTTTTCAAATACGTTGCAAAGTAATTTCCATAAGTTCAATACGACGTTTTGGCTCAAACAAGGTATTTGATGGAATTGTCTGTGATACTACAGCCGAGATAAAAATTGTCGCTTTCAATGAAGAAGTCGATCATTTATATGATAGCATAAACATCAATCAAGTAATCGATAACCAAATACAGCAAACTTATTTCATAGAATAAATATTTCAGAAAATAACCATTGAAAATGAAGAAGTTCAACTGGCTGATCCAAAATATCGTTCACCATGTTCATCGTATGAAATTCGATTATGTCCATCTACTTTTATACAATCATATGAATGTGCTGCATTTGATCCGCTGTTTAAAATTTCAAAACAAGAACTTCGGAATATTTCTGAATTGCCTCATGGTGTATCTGTTGGTAAGCAACATTATCTCAAAACTTTACAATAATTACTTATGTAATCTTTATACCTTTATTTGAGAATCACTGCAAGCTAGTTTAATTTCTAAATGTGCATAAAGAAAAGAATATCCATTAAAACTAATAAACTTTGAAACGAGAAACTGGTACGATACAAGTGTTACTAAAAATAGATGTAAAAATATTAAACATAAGCAGCGTATACGATTAGGAAAATGAAGCGGGGAAGTTCTTTCCACTAGATTTTTTTTTACGATATAGCTTTCTCTCTGGAAATTTTAATTTGCAAATAGTGAAAGGTTTATAGTGTTTTGAGGAAATATAACATATTCGCGACTTGTGAGGAAACAAATTGACTTTAATCAGGAAATGAATTATTTTCAAAGAGAAAATGAGTAGAATCCAAAGAGAAAACGAATGAAATCTAAGGAGAAAAAGAATCAAACCTAAAGAGAAAACCTACCAGTTTGAAGGAGAAAATAGATCGAATCCAAAGAAAAAATGGATCACTGTCAAATAGAAAATGAATGAAACAAATGTGAATCAAGTCTTCGTGCACTACAACGAATTAAAACTCAATTGCAGAATAAGCTCTGGTCTATGGCGTTGGAAACTGCTGTGGAATTTAATATATTAAAAGCAGATATTATTAAGGACGATTAAGAGATTATTGTACAACATTTTTGTATGTATTCAAGGCAAGCAAAAGCTCTTAATATTCAAATATATATACACATCAATGAGAATGAGATTGATAATGAAGAACAGACATAACATTAAAGAACTCATTGATATGAACAATTTTTTGTGTAGGAAAAATAAACTATTTTTCATTTATTTGAATTTTATGCATTAGTTTATTGATACGAAATATAGAGAACAAGAAAAGCCTTGAAAGCTCCAATTGAGAATATATTTACGGTGGAAAAATTAATGGAAATAACCGTTTCTCTTTGGGTTTGGGACACTTTCCCCATATTTCTTCTCCCTGCTACGGAAAACTAAATGAAAACTATGAAGATGAGATGTAACAAATGGTCTCGTTTATCGAGATATTATTGATATAGGAATTTCTTTTGTTACAGTTGCTCTAGAATTTAGAAAAAAAGGATTTTTTTTATTTAATAGATATTGAAGGTGTTGTAGTATTAGATCGTGGCGTTATAACAACAACTTCTCATAATACTAGTATACATATACGCCGAAGATCATTGAAAATAAAAGATGAAACAGCTGCTGTAAACATAACCATTTGGAATGAAAAAGTAAATCAATTGTCATTAATGTACGTAATTGATTAGTACACACCCTACTTGAATGATTTTTTTATCATAGCTCAATGAAGTTCCAGACAATGTTATGCATAAAAATGTTCGAGTACGTAATGGAAAAACTAATCATTACAATGGTAAAACAGCTCTATTTTTATTGACGACTTAGATACAATAGAATATTTTATCTGTATAGATTATGTATCAGTCAATATATCATCGCAAAGCATAGTTCACTTTTATTGAATGAATATTTTATAATCACGAATAATTTGACTCTTTTTTTCGTTTATACATTATTTAGTTCTCTTTTTTCCCTTTCGAAAGATTGAAAATCGAAATAAATTTCTGCCACGAGTATCTATATAACAATATTCAAGAGTATCAATATCGTTATTAAATGTTATCGATATCATATCAAAATCAAATAAACATCTAACTCACAAACTTAAATGAAATTCTAATAGATCAGTCATAATTCATTGAAACGACAACACCCTGCACTTAATCTCTACGAAATTACGATAATGTCAAATCTATCAAATTTGAAATAGATTTTCATCGAGTTCGAAAAAAAAGACCAAATTAAATGACATTCTATCTTGCTTGACTTTTCTTTAATTCTATATTGTTACACTCCATTGGCATAGACTATTGATTCTGTCAACCAGTCTGTATGACAGGTATGTATCATTTATTTAATAACTCAGTAGGAAATTCTTTCATATTAATGAAGAAAAGATTCACAAATATTCGATACGACGTATCCTCCGCAACTAACAACAGATCCCAAAACTTAGCGAAATTTATTTATATTAATAAACTGAAAATTTCCCTAAATTTGATTCTTTTCTTATTGAGTGCAACTTGCGAACTCTACATCTTCCTAAATTCATATCAATTTTTCTTGAATACAACTCGCGAACTCTACATCTTCTATAATTCAAATCAATTTCTATTGAATACCTCGTCAACTTACGAACAATTTTAAAAGCGAAAGTTTGAATTAAATCAGATTTAATATGAACAATGATGCAGAAATTTAATCTCAAAATTAATTAAATTTCAAACATAAGTTAAAAACCTACATACGTCTTAGCGATTTCAACTAATTTAAAACTGAACTAAAAATAATATAAAATTTAAAATTAAGTTTAATTTTGCCTAAATCCTAATTCTGCCTGGCACATATATATATATATTGCTATTCTCTTCAACATTATACACTTTAACATAAACTTATTTATTTATTTGTTTGGGTGCGTGTATGGGTGGTGTGGGTGTGGGTGTGGGTGTGGGTGTGGGTGTGGATGGTTCTTTTCTTTCTCCACACCCACCTACACCCCCACTCACACCCACACCCACACCCACACTCACACCCTGAAAAAGAGAAACACAAACGAAAACAAAGTGTTTCATGTTATTTCTCTTTTCTTATTAGTTGACAAAGAGGACTTGTTTGTTCGACGATATCTGTTCGGCATTTTTCATCAAAATATGTCAGGTTCTGCAAGCAACACTTGATCATATTGCTAAACTTTTTTCATTTGTTACCTATGAACCGTTCATCATCATTCTGCATCAACAGACTTTCCAAGATTGTTTTTTTCAGGGAGAAAAAAATCAAAGATTTCTCAGAAACGAATGTACTAGTTTATAGAGTAAAAGAGAGAACGTCTAACGACAGAATTCATAATCAATTAATCTTGCAAATATGCTAGCACAATAATTACGGAAAATTTTTACAATTTTTGGTGATGATATTATTCAAAGATATTGTGTTCTGAAGATGAAGAAAGACGTCTTTGCCCTGTAGAACATGACAGTTAATATAGAGTTGTACAACGGATCTGGTGGAGATAAACTAAACTCATTTGTTAGATTATGTAACTAAGTTCAAAGTGTTGTAATTTAACTATTGTTCTACATCGAAATTGATTTGAAACAAAATTCTGATGTAAAATGGTCGTAACGCTCAATTACTCGTCTGCTGAATAACTATTTTGTGAATAAACATAATGCGGGATTTTGAAATTCGTCTACATTTCATTTTTACAAAATCTAAATAATTCTGTTAGTAGCAAAATAAAATTGAAAAATATGTTAGTAGCTTAGTCGAAGTATTACATAGTATTAAGCGAAAATGAGTAGAAAAAAAAAGATACAATATCAAAATTGTACGCCAGAGAGAGTGATCTTAAAAATGTAATATTAGCAAGAAACAGTAATTGATCAGCTGAGGCTTCTTTTTTCAGAAAGAATAATAAGGACAAGCATATGTTTCATTGACATATCTATACAATAGTGCAGGATCCAGCATCATCGTTCAGTTGAAATGTTAGTTTTGCACGTTCGATAAGCTTTTTGAGCGCACTTACTAGCCGAGTATATTCGTCTAATTGCAGTAGAACTTGTCCATTGTATCTTGTCTCAATTCGAGTTCGTAATCGATCATATTCAGTATCCATACGCAACGATGATACTATGAGCATTTTAGCATAGGTTATAAGTTCTATTCCATCGACGAAGGCAAATGTCTCCATGAGATAAGTCGATAAATGATTTTGTTCGAACCAATATTTAACTTCATCTTTTGTCCACTGTTCAGGTGGTTTTGCCGATGTTGATTCCACATTGTGCAAAGATCGAAGACTGACCAGAGAAGAAATCAAATTGGCAAATTGTTCACGAGTCAAACCACGATTGCGAAGATTCTGCTCATATTCATCGTGTTGTGCTTCTTCATGTGTCATAAGACTCGCGTAAGCAAGTAAAGCATGTCCAGATGATAAATGAAGGATTGATGGAGATAGATGAAGCCATTGCTGTACCTCTTCATTAGTCCATTGTTCAATAGGTTTTCTAGAGATAACTGTTGGTAATGAGGTGTTAGGAGGTGAGAGAGGATGTGGTGGCAGTGGTAGAACTTCGACAGCCGTAGTAGTGTTGCTGACAGATGAACCTATGAGATTGTGTCCTAGATCAGGCTTTTGATGCATTGCTATTTTATTCGACTGTTTTTTAGCTTTTTCTTGGGCATTAATCAATTCAATAAGAGTTTCGATAACTTCATCATCACTTTTCTGACCACCAAAACGTACCCAAGTAGCTGAACCAGCTCGAATTTCAAACCAATCATCTGGTTGATATTGTTTACCTTGATAAATAGGTATCATTTGCTTGTTACGTTTATCAGCATGAATCACTTCTCGACGACAACTTTTCGAACCACAATAATATTCTGTAACAATCATGACAACAACATCACAACGAGTGATTGCTTCGGCTATTTCTTCCCAGTCATCTTCATATGGTGGTTCTAGTTTGATGAAATCAACCCATATGTCCCCTTTGACACGATTTTGTAGAATGTTGACTAGACTCCGACAAAATGTACTATCTTTATGCGAATATGAAACCATCACTTTCAGTCCATCTATATCGTTTTTGATTTGTGATTGATTTTGAAGAATAAACTGTTCAACTAGATCGAGATTAAAAAGAATTCCATTTGCTGATTCTCTCATACGAACAATATATTCATCATTTCCCTTGATTTTGGCAATTTGTTGTACGAATTGAACGAATTTCATGTTTGATTTTAATAGATCATGATATTCTGATTGAAAACTAATCGACCAGAATATGTTATAGAGTAATGAGCAAATCAGAATATTCAAATCGGTGGAATCAACATCAGTATTGGTTAGGAATAATTGATTATAATCAAGAAATTTTTGTACGAATAAATCAAAAATATGGTCATACTTCAAAATATACAGAAGACATTTGTCATTGACAGCAAATCTAGTTAATACTGTCAAATATTCTGATATTTCAGTTGAGAGTGAACCAGATTTAAAATAATTCGATTCAAATGCTTGAATTGTTTGATCGAGAATATGATTGAGCGCAAGATGAATATATGTGAGATCTTCCTGTTTCAGTACGACTGGATCAAGTAACAGAGCATAAATCATGTAAAATATAGTGAGAACATTGTCATCATTTTCATTAATAGGCAGTGTTGATTCAGATAGATAACGATCTTTCCATGTTTTTAGAATTGGAATAGCTTGATGCTGATTTAATGCTTGTACACCCAATTCATGACGAGCTAGATTGCCAAGTATACTCAAAACTGTAGTCCAAGTTTCCATATTGATTGTTATATCATTTTGTTCGATAGATAACCATTGAAGAATAACAGATGGGTAGCCAGTTTGAACAAAATATGGCACAAATGGAACAATATCGATCATATTTTGAATCCAATAAAAGACCTCTAATTGACCGTCACTTAGTGACCCATTTCGAATCCATCGATTTATATGTGCTAGTAAACCACGTAGAAGACGTTCATTCTTATCATTATATTGGAAAAACGTTGGTGTCTTTATAAGTGAAATAATCGAATATGATAAAAACTTCATGTTGTATATTGCATGACGGCCAATAGCACAGAAGAAAAACAAAAACTCTTCATCGATCGAATTAGTCGGTTGATTTCCAGAGAGATAATCAAGAGTTGTTTCAGTAGTCAAATAGTTGAGTGATAAATCAAAGTAGCTATCGTTGACATCTCGATTGATTAACATATCCATATTAATTCGACACGGCAGAAAATGAATTAGATTTCTTAGGCTTAATTCTGACAGTGAAGATGCCCATCGACGAAATAGATTTATTTCGAAAGATTTCAATTGTATAATAAGACGTCGTTTTTGATCGATCGAAAATGACTCATATGTATCATCGATCTGTTTCAGTTCTTTACCGAGAATATCCATTCCATGACTAATATTTTTCTCACAAAAATCATTTGGAGCGAAAAGAATTTCTAATTCTTGAATGGCTTTTGTGAACGAATCATCAGTCATGTTGTCAATAAACACCACAAAGAGACGGAGAGTGAGAGCAAAGAAAATTCAATACTAAAAAGAAAAAACCTTGCTGTTTATATCATATGAATAAGCGTACAGGTGAGAGATAAACGACGGCCGTCATCGAAAGTGAACGGCCAACGTACGTTTTTGCTCTTCTTTATTTTTTTTTCTTTCTATCGAAAAAAGAAATGATACATTTTATTCGGTATCCAAGTCAGCCCATGCGCCGTTGGTGCACGTGGAGTCCGAGACGCTCGATAAGCGCACTTACTGTCGCGCGTACGTACGATGCTCGCACCACTAGTGACGTACGCTTTTTGTTGTTTTACCATTGGTTTTATTTATAAAAGACTTTTTTCAATATTCAGAGTTCGAAAAATGTTTTATTTCGTTCAAATGATTCCTCAGGATAAAAGTACCTAAATATAGATTAATAACTGTAAAAAAAAGTCAACAAAACAGTTGTTACATTAAAAAAAATACACCACGATATCATGTCACATCAATGTTTCATGAGATTTGCAATTCTTTTAAGGAAACCGAACACGAAAAATTAAAGAAAAATTTTCTAGATAATTTCAAGATGAGTAAGTGTGATAGTTATTGTTTCATGATGCAAAAAACGAACTTTATGCTTCAATAAAGACACAACATAATTTCATAAATAACTAGTGAGATAAATAATTGGCATAAAATCTTATAAATAAGTAATTAACATAAAGACAAAATATTAATAATCATCATCATCTGCATCATCGAACTGTTTTTGACTGGTTAATTCACTGTTTTTTTCATTGCTCGCGTATTGGCTGTCGATATTTAACATTACGTTATCTTCTCTGCTCTTTGTCTACAAAAAAAAAAGACATGAATAGAAATTCAGACGATAACGTATCATGATGATCAAGTTGAGACGTTAAATCATGTGTATTGTTTTCTATACGACAGATACGACGAATATGATTAATCTTAATTGTTCAAAAATATTAAAATTTTAAAAACATAAAAAGCTGTCTTTTGATAATTATCTCTGAGGAAATGAAGATGAGATCTAGAATAATTATGGTCATAAGAAAAATGTTGTAAAAATATTACCAAAAAATATTATAAAAAATATAAGAAATATTTTAATATATGTTGTAAAAAATATTAGTATGACAAAAAATAATTTTTAGCATTTAATTTCTATCCAAAACGAACGTCCGTTATAATTCAAACACACGCCTTTGTTTGTTCGTACCATTCATTTGAACACACGGCCTCTCTACTGGACGTAATATCACGTCACGCGTACTAAAGATTACATGTCGGTGCGCAACAGTACGCGTAACATCATTGGTGACATCATGTGCGCCAATGCGCACTAGCGTGAGGTGTGCGTACCGGGTAATAATAATCGGTCGAATTTTCAGCCTACGGCCTAAGGCCTTGTCTACACTAGAAAAATAATACGGTATTAAATTCGTATTAAAATGATGTGCGTCTTCACTTGTAAGTTAATGCATCAATCAGAATCCAGAATGATTTGTCGCTTTGTTTAGTTCAATAGGCTCACAAAAATCGAATTTAATGTTGATTGGTGCATTAACTTTAATACGGTTTTGAAAAGTGCATTATTTAATATACTTTTCAAAACTGTATTAAATACGTATTAACTTTTCGACCAACGACGTTTCTTAATTGGGTATTACATTTTCAAGTGTAAGCAAAGCCTAACTGGTCTAAATCATTTATTGGCTGTTTTCTTGGTATGCATCTATCGGATTAAAAATGATTAAAAGCGCCATTAATAATACAAGATGGCGCCCTTATATTATATGATACACATTATTCGTGCTAGTATGAAAAGTTAATTTTTTATTAGTTTTGTACATAAAATTACTAAAACTATAGCTTAGTTTGATAAGAAAATATAGACAAATCTTTCAAAACAAATTGAATTAAATTAATTAACTTTTGCATTGAATACTTGTACAGAGAATGAAGCAATCATGTGAAAACACGTAGTATTATTTTATGCGACAAGCATGCTTCAAATTATTTGTATTAAAAATTATATGCATTTCTTTAAAATTAAACATGTTTTCTAAATTTAATTCAATTCTTTTGTTCATATAGGATCGATAGATATTTGGTTAAGAAGATTGTGTTGTTTTCTATCTATCTATATATGTATATATACCATTTTTATTTAATAAAAAATAATAAAGTTTAACAAAAAATGTTTCCACAATAAGGAGAAAATAAGCAAACAACAAATATGAAATAATATGTGCACCTTCAACATATTCACTATAAAACCAGCAATGTAACAATTATAATAACACATGTTTCTTGAATATCAACGAGATAAACTATAAAATAATCATTGAAACATGAAAAATCAATATGGTTCACTTTTCATTTTTTTTCTTTCATCAGCTTCAAAATTACTAAAATTAAAAAGTTAACAATAAAATCAAGGTTTTAATGTACTGAATTTATAATAGTTTTACCGTGCAGATGATCGAAAATTTTTGTTTTTTGCTTAATTTCGCTTTCGAACGTGTTTTAATCGATACATGAGATGTTGAAGACGGCGAAATTTGAACGTGTCCAATTTGATTGACTTTGAACACATTCCTATTTATATATACAAGTAAATAGATTAATTATATAGATTTTAGTATTCCAAACAAAAGGTAAGAATATGTATTTTGTAACAGTGAATAATGATAGGAGAATAAACAAGGTTAATACTCAAGACAAGTCATATTTTGAAAAAATAAGTGTCACTAATCCTTTTTTATATCAGTGAAAATACATTCCTAAAAAATGTCTTGAGTTCCATCACACTTTTACAAGTAGCTTACCTATGGTGCTTATAATATTTTCTATCATCATCTTCAATTGTTTCATCATTACTTTTATTATATTCAATTTTATCGTTATGACTTTTATCATCTTCAGTTTTTTCATCTTCATTTTCATCATTAACAGAAGATGAAACAATAAGTTTAGCTCTAAAAAAAGCATTAAATTTACTGAGAATTTAGAAACGAGAATCTTACAATGTACATTGTACAATTCGAATTCTCTTATTTAAAATCGCATACATATTATGCAGGCGTTCGTAGCATTTAGGAGCTGATTCGATATAACCTGTTTGTTCAAATATATGAATGAATGACGAAACGACAGCATTAATTTCTTCATCGATAGGTAATACGATAAGTTTTTCTATGATTAGAAAGACATTTTTTGTGATCCTTTATTCTATTATAACAACATACTTGTTTCACATTTTTCTTTTATTACCATAATTAATCTGATCAAGTTGTCATGTTTCTCCAAAGCGTAAACAAGATTAGAATTAACTTTGTCAAATAATAACGACGATTGTTCATTAGAAAGACCTGTAAAAGATGGAATTTCAAAAACAAAACATAATCAAAGAAGTGCTCACCTTTAGAAACAAAGTCGCTAAGTCATAGTTGTAACTGTTTATTCGCTGCTGGATAAACTGCTGGTACCTTTCCATCGACATAAGCTTTGTTTCACCTTGGAATATAGATCATCTAAAAGACATTCATCTGAATACATCTTTATGGAAAAAGTCTCTTACTTTTATTTTTAATTAATTTTGAAAACTTCACCGGATACGTCGTTGATAAATACTAATAAATCTATAATAAAATCAAAGCAGCTATCACATAATAGACGAGTCATCTATCTTTTGAATCAAGTTTCATAGTTTAAAAACAAAAAAGAAATATAATTAAAAACAAATCAAATGGCACACAACATAATCAAAAAGTACAAAACATGTTGTAAATGAAAGTGGGCATAAGATAAAGAAAAAAATGCAATCAAACAGTAAAAAACATCATGATACAGTTTGAGAACACTGTACATATTAAAAGCGTCCATAATAACTAGTAATGCATTGTCAAAGACTTTTCTATAGATTTTTTTGACGTGCAAGGTTGAAGCTTTTATCATGTGCATATGTGATGAGGATTTATAATGTATTTAAAGATAAGAAAGTAAAAATGTGATGAAAATCGAGAACAAAAACTCACATTATAATCATATGGAGTGCTTCAATACTGATTTTAACTAGAGTTTTCAAGCCTTATTAAATATGAGATCTTAATTACATCTATCTTGTATATACATAATAAAGCTTCAGCTACGTGTATCAAGAAAAAGTTTTAAAAAGACGAATGGACAATTCATTTTCTGTTATTATGGATCATCCTTTATCTGTATCACAAACACAACTGTTGAACAATAGCTAAATAAGAAAAGTCACTGAATAGGGATTGAGAAAATGAATTAAAAATATAGTTAAATGCAGAAAATTGCGACATATGACAATCCACTACAATAATAAAAGAAATATGTAAAAATTTGATAGAAATTTACTGGAGAAAATTTACAATACCTATGACATTTGACGAACCACGGTTTGATTTGAATACTGTTGTGAAACAGTACGATTGACTGGCGTAATAAAACAAATTGCTTTTATAACTTTATATACAGTAGTAACATTGGATGTCGACGACGACGGTAAATTTGATATATCTGTGAGTGTGAAAATACATCCTATTCCGCGATGTTGAACATTCCGGAATCAGTTCCGTTCAATTCTGGGAACTCGATCATGATTCTGTAGAACAGGCTTAATTGATATTGATCGAGTTCCGTCGATTTCCGGAATTCCGGGAATTGAGTGAAGACGGAGTTATAGGGAATTCCTGAAACTTCTTCTGATTCCGGAATTCCTTCTTGCCCTCATCCTCACTCAGAATGTTGTGTTTGAATGTTAGTCCCTGGGATATGTTTGTAATTCCGGTACGGAATTTCGGGAGTTCAGTGAAGACGGAATTATACGGAATTACACGGAATTCCTAGAGATTCCGAAATTGAAAGGAATTTCTGGGCAATGGGAGTAATTCCGTCGGGAATCAGTTTCCGCCATTCCGAGAATTGGCGGAACTCGATCGGTGTCGAGTAGGTCCATTATGCCGAATGATGATCGAGTTTCCGGAATTAGATGGAACTGATTCCGGGGGAACTGATTCCACAATGTTCAACATTGCGGAATAGGATGACTGCTCATATTTAATACTTCAGTCAACATGAATTCTAATCAGAAAAACGAAAGGATAATATCTATAATAGTCGTTGAAATAGTTTCTTAAAATCAAAAATTGAACGAATGAATTTGTATGAGATTTCAAATCAAGACGATGGATGAAAAGGACACTGTTTTTTGTGTACTCAAAAAGTGAGTACACTCTAGAATCGGTCAGTGTGTCCGGCCGGCCGGCCGTTAACACGATAACTTTTGAAAGGAGAGTCCAATCGCGATGAAATTTTCTACACAGTTCAGTCTTAACAATGTCTCGGTCGAGTTCGAAGATGAGCAGGATCCGTCA